TGTTATATATGTTTCTATTGGTTTGTGTGCGTGTGAGTCTGTGTATGTCTCGTGTGTGTGTGTGTGTCTGATTGTAAATGGCAGTTTCTCTGGGTGACGGTAGATCCTTAGGGGAGATGTAGGTTCCAAGTATTGAGGTAAATGGTTATATTTTTTATTGTGAATGTCATGGGAGACCAAGATTTGGTAAATGGACACTTTTCAGAACATTAAGAATGTTGCTAATAGTTTTTATACTTTCTGTTTTTACATGCAGTCACTTAGCTTTATAATTCAAAGAAAGGGACCTCATTAATATATATTATCCAGGGCTTTACAAATCCTAAGGGTGGATAATTGTGGGAACAATTTCTTGAGTTTCCGTACCCAAGTTGGACTTTTTTAAGGTCCATATTGAAACATGCAGAAAAAGCACAAAAGTATTTTTTTAAATTTGCATAAAATTGTAGGAAGTTTTACTGTGTTTGGTCTCACCACAACCCTTTTAACAACTAGCTAAATGCTAACAATGAGACACCTAAACTACTACATCCGAACTAGGGCCATGCTGATGAGACCAGAAAGGTCAAAAAGTTACAATTCATGACTTATATAAAATCACTCTGGGGGATACAAGAATTCATGACTGGGCAAGGAAACGGGGATATCCTGAATATGTATACCCTATACTTGGCTGTGATTGGTTAAAGAAACAGATGATGTCATAAATGTATGCTACGATGCACACATCATCAAACAAAATCCATATTGTGTAGCAGAACTCCCGTACTCCAACTTAGTACCTCGACCAGGTGATCTTACTCTCTGCTACCTGGACAAAGCTTAACTGGGGTCTCTGAGGACCTCTTCCTTCTGCCAAGGCTGCAGCTCTTTGCAAGCCTGTAACGTCCCCTCTGCCTTTACCTTTTCTATTCTTCTCCCAGGCAGATATGAACACCTCTGCCTACACTATCTCCAAGTACTGTCTTTACAAAGGCACTTTGCTTAGCTCTTTCTTAACACGTCCCGGGATTCAGGGACCAGTGAAGCCAGCAAGCAGGTCCAAAAACTCTGTTACCTGGATGCTAGAATCAACCAGACAGGACACATAGTTCCCAATAGAAATAACATCCATTTTTTTATATTTAGTCAAGGACTAGCCTTTGGTAACTTGTCAGTAAAAGCAAAAAATTAAGAAACCATTGTGGTACTCTGCAGAAGTGGCCAAAATTGTAAAAAAACACAAGGTTAGCCTTTAGTCAAGAAAAACAATGCAAATATAGGTGCCTACTATATACGTATGTAAAAGGTAGCAGTCAGACATACAAGGATTCACAAACCTTGTGAAAATACAGATACATCAAAACAAACAATAGATGACCATGAATAAAATAAATTGTAACCCTTAAGAGATCACACATAGAGCATATATACATACTGTGGCGAAAGGGACCTCGCCACTAGTTTTTGGAGGGGACTGATTGCCAGCCTCATGCCTTGGGACTATGGCCCCTGGGAGATTGGGCACTTTAAAAACAGCATTTGAACTTATTGGCATTTAAAAGACTGTTCTGGCCCTTTAAATGAAACTATCTGCTTTGTCCCTCCTCAACCTCTCAGCAGCCCATGCTAAACTTTAACCCCATGGCGATTTTATTCTGTTCGCGGGATCTGAGCGCTGTTCCGTAGAGATGTCGCGAACCGTCCGCGAACGGTTCGCCACGGATCACCACAAACCGTTCGCGGCGAACTCCGGTCAGCTGACACATCCCGGCCAATCTCCGGCAGACCCTCCCTCCCAGACCCTCCCACCTCCTGGAGAGCATCCATGTTGAAGCTGCCTTCAACATGGATGCTGTCCAGGAAGTAGGAGGGTCTGGGAGGGAGGGTCTGCCGGAGATTGGCCGGGATGTGTCAGCTGACCGGAGTTCGCCGTGAACGGTTCGTGGCGAACCGCGGCGAACCGTTCGCGAGAAGTTCGCAGACGGTTCGCGACATCTCTACTGTTCGGATATATTGAGCGCTTAGATCCAAGCTATCTGGGGATAGTGTCCCTTCAACATCATGTTCTAAAATTCTTATGTGGAACCACCAATGTAGTGAAGGATAGTAGACTCGGGCAGAAAAAAAAAAAAAAAAATCAGGGTGACCTCAATACATAGTTCTAAATATTTTCTATTTAAACAAAATTAATTTTATTTAAAAAAAAATATATAAAAAATTTAATAGGAGGAGACAATATTTAAAAGAAGAAAACTGCCACAACAAGAGGACATAGTCTTAAATTACAGGGACAAAGGTTTAAAAATAATATCAGGAAGTATTACTTTACTGTGAGGGTAATGGATGCATAGAATAGCCTTCCAGCTGAAGTGGTAGATGTTAACACAGTAAAGGAGTTTAAGCATGCGTGGGATAGGCATAAGGCTATCCTAACTATAAGATAAGGCTAGGGACTAATGAAAGTATTTAGAAAATTGGGCAGACTAGATGGGCCGAATGGTTCTTATCTGCTGTCACATTCTATGTTTCTATGTTTCTGTTCAGTATGATAGGCGTTATGTATTTTTGTGTATTTTTACTGTTGTTGAAAATAGAGATAATTTCTGTACCTGGAGATAGTTGGCTTACCACACCCAGTTAAGCCAATTATCTCCAGGATAGAGGACTCTGTGGAACAGGTTTGGGCTGGAAAGCCATGCTTGCAGGCGGTCACAAAGGATTTCCAGCTAACCTTTTAACCCCTAGAAGGAATTGCCTGATTTCTGAGTATGTTTGTATTTGGAGTATGCTGATTCTAAAAATGTATGTGAATGTGATGTATACTTTTAAAGTTATGAATATTGTGTAAAACTGAATCCTGCCTGTGATAATTATGTTAACTCATTGTGTGCAGTAATTATATCACAGGCAGAGGGGAGGATTTTGTGTGGGAGTGTCTGTGTGTATTGTACGTATTGATTGGTTGTTCTGCAAAACCCTGTGGGCGGTACTATGTTTGTAGAATGAGCATAAAAGCAGAGTGTTGGATTAAAAGCTTCTGTTCTACGTCCCCCTAATTTGGAGTGCCGTCTCTAATTGGGGGAATCTGCTGCAAGGGATTGCTATGCTTGTCATACTCCCTTGCTAAATCACTACTAAGCTCTTGTAAGAGTTTGTTCCTGCTTCGCTCTGAAGGAAGAGAGGTTTGGCCTGCGGTGGTTGTGGTGTTGGCTGGAGTGCTTGGAGCCCTCAGGAAGCGCTAGGAGTATCCTTCATAGGAGGTACCTTGTCGGGGTGCCAGGTGATCCGTTACACATACCCGTTACAATAGCCTTTTTTTCTCGTTAGACAATGTCAGGTATCTCAAAACAGTAGAAAAAATAAAAGAAAAAAGGAACAATAATAGTGCAATATATTCTTAGAAAAGAAATAACCTTAAGACAATAAATTCTAAATATAATAGAATATGAAAAACTATAAAAGGAATACACAAACTATATATAAAACCATAAATAACTCCTTGATTGGGAATATTAAATCTTTGCATAAAAATAATGTCTTAAAAATTATTTAAAGGGACACTATAGTCACCAAAACAACTTTATCTCAATGAAGCAGTATTAACGTCTAGACCATGCCCCTGCCATCTCTCTGCTCAACTCTCTGCCATATAGGAGTTAAATCACTTTGTTTATACAGCCCTAGTCACACCTCCCTGCATATGACTTACACAGCCGTCCTAAACACTTCCTGTAAAGAGTCGGCTAATGTTTACACTTCATTTTTTGCAAATTCTTTTAATTTAGAATTTCATATCTTCTGCTATGTTAATAGCGTGCTGGACCTTGCAGAAGCCTCATGTATGTAATTAAAGTTCAAATTACAGAGTAGGAGACAGAAACATCTAGAGCAAGTTATCATCTAATTGAAAATGAAACCATTTTTTTAATGCAGGTTGTGTGAGTTACAGCCCCGGAAGCTGTGTCTAAGGCTGAATAAACAGAAACAACAGTGATTCAACTCCTCAATTACTGAGAATTGAGCAGTAAGACAGGAGGGGTCTGATCTATACACTAAAACTGCTTCATTAAGCTAAAGTTGTTATAGTGTCCCTTCAACATCATGTTCTAAAATTCTTATGTGGAACCACCAATGTAGTGAAGGATAGTAGACTCGGGCAGAAAAAAAATCAGGGTGACCTCAATACATGGTTCTAAAAATTTTATATTTAAACAAAATGAATTTTATTTAAAAAAAAAATAAGAAATGTAATCTTTTTTTAAAATTAAATAAATAGTATCTATAAAAAAAATTACATAATAAAAATCTGCGTTGAGACCATGAGGGCTGAAGGTATATAAATTGAAAATCCACCTCATCTCCGCTTGGCCTAGATCCTTCACTATATCTGCACCTCTCCAATTGGTACACACTTTTTGGATACGGTGATCCTTGTTTGCAGGTAGCTCGGTCCTCTAGGGTAAACAATAGGCACAGTCCTTGTAATTGCATATACTCCAGGCCTTTTATTTGTAAATCCACACAGGATACAGCAGAAAATGAAAACATAAATGTAACAGAAAACCCTATAAACAAAAACCTAGCTCGTCTGAGCACTAACTGACATTAGGTTCCCTATCTCTCAGGGTTAAACTAAACAAAACAATATTGGTTTCACCAACCTAGAGTCTTTGTCCACTCTCAGCACTCCAGTATTTAGCCAGCCTGCTGCTTCCAGCCTTTCAGAGAGAAACAAAACATTCTCTCCCTACCTGCCTAGCAGGGAGGGATTTATTCCCACTGCTGCAGCCGATTACCTGCAGCTGAGCAGTAGGTTGGAGACAGTCCAAAACCCTGGGCTGGATCTATGTCTTCCAAGAAAATCGCTAAACTGCGGAGTGGAGCACTGGCCCACCCTGCTCTCCAAATGCTCCACCCC